CCACTTTGAGTTTTCTTGTGTCGAATAGAAATCTTCCTCTTGATCAGTGGTTCTCAACTTTCCTAATGTATTTTTCATTGTTAAAAAGGGGTTGAGATCCACAGATTGAGAACCGCTGCTCTTCATAAATTTAACTGGTCTTAGAACATTCATGTGCTATTGCTTCCATCTTTGTGACAGTATCTATAGTCCTGATCATAGTTTTGATTACTAATTTATCAGTATACCTTGGGATCACCTTGTCCTTTTTAGTAGATACCACCGAGACAGAGAAAATGTAGCGAAGTATACTGACTTAAAACAATGATTTATTCTTTGGGCGGGGGGTGGGGGTGGGGTGGTCTGGCTTGGCTGGACTCTTACTTGACAGTTCTTCGCATGGTATGGGCTGGGTTTTCTCATTGCTAAAAATAGACAAGGCAGCTTAAATTACAGTGTCAAATGAATGGGAACTACCTTGGCGTCTTCTACCTTGGTTTTACTTCTTACGCATTGGCTCAGGGCTCTAAGAAAGCAAAGGGAAGCCTGAGAGCCCTTAAGGATTAGGCTTAGAACTGGAATAGTACTGTGGTCGCTTCTGCTGCATTCTCCTGGTCAAAGCAAGTCAACAATGCAAGCCTGGACTCCAGGAGAAAGGAAATAAATTTCACCTCTTGACAGGAGGGAGAATGGCATAGATGATAGGGATGACAGAGAATTGTCATAGACCATCTTTGGAGATAGTCATGCTACAATTCTATTCTTTCATAGTTAGATTTTTGGGCCAGAGTACTAGCCCCTTTAATTTAAATCCAATCTTTCTTATTTTTTGACGCTGAAATCTTAATTCGCCGTATGTCTTAGGAAGATTTAATAGACAGAAATACACAATTTGTCTTTCTCAACATCTTTTGGTCAGCATTGCACCAGGAACATTTGCCATTCATTGTTTGTTTCTTATTTATTTATTTTGCAATTTTTGGCCGGGGCTGGGTTTGAACCTGCCACCTCCGACATATGGGGCCAGCGCCCTACTCCTGTAAGCCACAGGCGCTGCCCATTTTATTTATTTATTTATCTGTTTATTTATTTATTGAGACAGAGTCTCACTCTGTCACCCTCTTAGAGTTCAATGGCATCATAGCTCATAGCAACTTCCAACTCTTGGGCTTCAGCAATTCTCTTGCCTTAGGCTTCCAAGTAGCTAGGACTACAGGCGCCCGCCACAGTGCCTGGCTTTTGTTGTTGCAGTTGACACTGCTGCTTTAGCTGGCTGTGGCCGGGTTCAAACCCGCCACCCTCAGTATATGGGGCCAGCGCCCTACCCACTGAGCCATAGTCGCTGCCCTGTTTGTTTCTTCTGATTTATAATTTGGCCAGTAAACAGACTGACTACTGTTATCTACCTCACCTGTTACTTGTGGGTCATGATTAATGACTTTAGAGTTGTTATATGGCTAATTCACTGTTGTGCTTGGGGGAAGAGGTGCTTGACTACTATCTTAATCCCACACAATTTAGCATGAGTTAGCCTAATGTTAAAAAAAAAACATTTTTAGGGGTATAGAAGTTACTATTTATAAAAGGTAGATTACTAATTTAGCAATATTTACTAGCACCTTGTGTAAAAAACTTAACCTAAGTTTTTATTATATATTTATTTATTTAGACAGTCTCACTTTGTTGCTCTGAGTAGAGTACTCTGGCGTCATACCTCACAGCAACCTCAAACTCTTGGGCTCAAGTGATCCTTTTGTCTCGGCCTCCCTAGTAGCTGGGAGTACAGATGCCTGCCACAACTCCCAGCTATTTTTGGAGACTGGGCAGGGGAGGGTGGTGTCTCACTCTTGCTCAGGCTGGTCTCAAACTCCTGAGCTCAGGCAGTCCACGCACCACAGCCTCCCAGAATGCTAGGATTGTAGGCATGAGTCACTGTGCCCAGCCTGTAACTTTAAAATTTTACATCTGAAGTAGTGGTTCTCTCTTAAAGTAACATACAGTTTATGGCTTAAATAAAGTGATTGAAAAGTGAAGGACATGATTAAGCTGTGTTATGCTTAGTTTCTTTGTCTTGCCGGTTGGACCACTAATCCACAAACTCAAGAGACTTGCTCCACATACTCTAGAGAGCTTGTTCATTATTTTCTCAATGCCTAGCACACTGGCATTTAAATATTTGGAGAATAAACAAAAAGTATCTTGAAGCTATACACTATGAAATAGGGATACTTAGGTGGAGAATTCATTTCATAGCAGTGTTCACTTACTGTTGATTTTTTTCTTTGAAATTGTTCATAATACAGTCTTAAATGTTAAGTAAGTAAGCTAGAGAATAGTTCACAGTTGAATTGTATATGGAGGCTTTTTAAAATTTGTATATTTTTCTCCTACTTAATTGGAAGTTATTAATCACGTAATACCTTTTTTCAGTTGACTTTGTATCTAATTTGGTTTTCACCTTTTAGCTAGCTAATTATAGAAACAGAATTTACCCTTCCCTACTAATAGTGGTTGCACATTGATTTCTTAGTTTCATCCATAGCATCTTTTAGTATTTATTGTAAGGTGTATGGAAGGAATGGAAGGAATTACAGTTCTCTGTCTCTACTGCTAGATTATGAAGTACTAAAATACTGTGTTTCCAGGTTCTAGTGTGTTACATGGTGTATAATAGTAGTAAGTAAACGATTGACTGAGTGCTCTTACCCTGAGTACTTTAACCTACATTTTCCTCTCAAAACCAGTAGAGGTCCCTACCTTACAGAACCAACTTAACCATTGAGATTAAGTAGGGCACAGTGTGGAGTGCCTCAGTTCAAACTCTCAACTCAACCCAAAGCCACTGTGCATGTAACCAACTCCCAGAGTTAAGTTAATAACACATTTTGTATAGAAGTAAAACTTGAAAAAGCCTAGTCATTTGTTTCATATGACCATTGCTTTGGCTGGGCATGGTGGGCTCATGCCTATAATCCCAGAAGGGATTGAGAAGGCTGGGGTAGGGGAAATCACTTGATGACAGGAATTCAAGACTATTCTGGGCAACATAGCAAAACTTGTCTCTACAAAAAAAATGAAGTTAGGTGTGATGGTGCCTCCCTGTAGTCCCAGCCACTTGGAGGGCTGAAATGTGAAGATTTCTTTAGTCCAGGGGTATAAGGCTCCAGTGAGCTGTGATTGCACCACTGCATTGCTGCCTAGTTGACAAGAGAGGGAGACTCTGTCTCTAAACAAAAACAAAGAAGACCATTTTTTTAAGTGGAAAAACCCACTTAACTTTTTGTTGGTTTGTGTTTTGAGAAGAAGTTTCACTCTAGAGTGCCATGGCTTTATAGCCCACAGAAACTTCAAACTATTGGACTCAAGTGTTCTTCTTGCCTTGGCCTCCCCAGTACCTGGGATTACGGGCACCTGACACAATACCTGGCTAGTTTTTCTATTTTTAGTAGAGACAGGGTCTTCTCTTGCTCAGGTTAGTCTCTTATCTCCTGAGCTCAAGCAAATCACCCACCTTTACCTGGCAGAGTGCTAGGATTACAGGCATGAGCTACTATGCCTGGTCCACTTAACTATTTTCAGTCTGTCTTCTGTTTGAGGTAGATTTCCCAAGAGCAACAACCAGAGGTGGTACAGAGCCTAGTGTTCAATGGACGAAACACTGGCAGTAAATAGAACTTAATTTGAAGAGATAAGTGTAGTATAGTATAATAAAGACTTTGCTATCCTAACCAAAATGCTCTTTTGATTTCAAGCCAGTAGTTTCAAATACTGGTTAATCACAGGAAACATTTCAGATTGACTTTTCTTACCCCCAACCCCTTAAAGCTGCAACTCGGTTCTGCTGCTTCATCTGGGTATCTGTAACTTGAGTTGTCGAAAGGAAAGTGAAGCTAAATTAAAACTGTTTACCTCCCCCACTGAAACAGAATAGGTAAATACAAAAAGTTAGAGTTACTCTATTTTTTTAAAAATTTTGCTTATGAATGGGTGCTATATATATTAAACTACTGGGTGACTGCCTTGCTAGAGTAGAAACAAAGAATTGGATCCATTTTCTCATTGTAAAAATTGATTTATTTGGGGTATAGCCCAGATAGAAACTGATTTCACTTTGATTCCCAAAGTATACTTAGAAGGAAGTGGTATGGATAATAAAAATGGATGGTGTTTTTTGTTGTTGTTTTTGCAGTTTTGGCCGGGGCAGGGTTAGAACTCGCCACCCCAGGTATATGGGGCCAGTGCCCTACTACTCATCTTTCTCCCCCTTAACTGAAAAGGAAAAAAAAATAAACCACTAGTTTTTTGAGCTTTTCCCTCCAATACAGTAATCTAATTTTTTTGCTTGAAATTGTTATAGTTTTAAACAAAGTTTTACAGGATGGAGTTTTTAATTTTATCTGTGATCTGCAATGTTCTGTTAACATATCCCAGATAAAAATTAATGAGATTCAAGTCTACTCTTCACTTTTGAACAGTTTATCTGGTGTGAGGTTTGTCTGAATTGTGTTTTTGTAAATGAAGTTAATTGTGTTCTACCTCCTCTGGCATGGACTCTGCTAGTGTCTATTACATTATTGGTTTCTACTTTAATCATTCCTCCAGAGTCTAAAAGATTCATCAGAAGAGGTCTTTCTGTACTCAGTGCCTTTGATTACATTTAAACGTGAGAGTTTCCCAGCACATTAGAAAAGGTTCCTAAATAATGAACTATCATGCTTAAACTGTCTGAAGTCAGCCTGTAACCAGGCAACACTTGTCAGGGACTGATAATCAATTGTATCACCCTTGAATTACAAACTGAACACTAAGTTAAAAAGTTGAAAGTATTGCAGTGTGCCCAAAAAATTCTTTGGGCTCTTAAACCACAAGTTCATGAGCCTCTTGCAGTCACAATTGTATTGTTGACAGTGACCAAATATTAAAAAAGTTTTATAACTCAGGCTTATAGTATGCTCTTTAAGAAACACAGGTTTTTTACTTTTGTAAAGGTTGTATTACACCTGTTTTCTTTTCTTTCTAAGTCCCTTTTGGAAAAGTTCTTGATTCCCAATGCTTCACAAGCAGAGAGCAAAGTCTTCTATTTGAAAATGAAAGGAGATTACTACCGTTACTTGGCTGAGGTTGCTGCTGGTGATGATAAGAAAGG